ATAACAGTGGACAGCTGGAATTATGAAATGTTTCATTTCTCTTGTGAGCGTTTGCAGAAGGGCTATACTCCGCAGCGAACAGCAGACACTACTCACTTAGTTATAAGTAGTCGAGGCAAATATTTGTGGACTCTCAGTAATTCCAACTAATCTGTCTGGATCAACTATCAAAACGGTTGTTAAAATCAAGTTTTATATTATTTAATTCTGCATTTAAGCAACTTCGTTGTGTCGTCTTCATCGCGTCGGCGATTAAAGATCTTTAGAAGTGGATCGACTTCGTTGTCGCAACTTGGTCTTGTTGTCAGGGCGACTATGTAGAACGCACCTAGTCCGAAGTAGTCTTCCATAGTAGTTGTCATGATTCCCATCATCTGACAGTGGACTTGGTACATTCTCAAACGTTTCGCAGGCATCGTAGTCGACAAGTTACGACAACGAGATCAACCCACTTCTAAAAATCGAAAGGAGACTGCCCCACAACATCTTGGTCTTCATATATTCAATTAAAGATCTTTCGCCTGAATGGCATTTCATCCGGCTCAGAGAATGAGTGGAAAAGTTTTCAAGACCTCATTTTTCGACGGCCTCTTAACTTTCTCATTTGCCCTGAATTTTCGCTTGCTCCTTCCAACCAGCCTCTCTCAATTGAATGTTGTGGACATTGTGGACATTCAGAACAGAAAGAAATATCTTATTTACTCTTCAAAAAAAAACACAGCCAGTTGGTTTCACAATTTTGAACGTTTGTCACTGGGACCCTCGCGTGTGAAATCGTGTGTGAAGCAAATGTGTAAATGGGTTTATAACCAGCGTTCTAACGTTTCATCAAGAAGAAGTGTTTTCGCCTTAAATGCCCTACTCCTTTGCCTACATTCAGACGATTAGCTAATCTGCTGTATGCATTTTGATGTGAGGGTTTAGGTCTTTCGGGTTTTAATGCTTGCATTATTTTGATTTCGCGTTACCGGACGCCCATCTGGTTGAGCTGACCAGGTTGCTGGGGCGAATTGTGACGCGAAGAGTATGTGACCTACAGCCCATCAATCGAGGAGAAGTAGTTGTGACCGAATTTCCTACTTCCGTGTCCATCACTTTGCTCTAAGCACTAAAACCAACAAATGGACAGAATTGAGGCCGTGCAATCTCATGTTCAGTTTATGTCATGGACTCAGCCGACCGGACTGTTCGCGCAAGCAAGACCCTTTCAAGAGGATCGAGGCCCCGAGAATTGTGTCTCACTCTGAGCACATCTGGTAGGCGTCAGGACGGCCTGGACGTGTTACCGCGCAGGATGAAATTAGCAGCGGCGTTCGTGGTCTAGTTGCCGGGCGCGGAATAGCCCCATGCTCTGCAGTCCTTTCACGCAGAGTCCGTAGAATGGTAGACAATCCACTTGCTTCAGATCTCTGTTCCACATCCTTTTTGTGTGGGCCAAGTCAGAGAAGCATACTTGCTTTTCGCAAGAAAGTGGTCGAGGTGTGTTTTGAAAAAGACGTCACGAATCCACCGGAAGCGACGATCTTCACGTTTTTGGCCTCCACAACCAAAATGGTATGGCGGTCTTTTTGGAGAAATTCAACGACCTTTCGGACTTTAGTTGCGACCACGACCTCAAAGCTGTACGTCGGAAATCAGGCGAGTTGAAAAACGGTGCCAATTCCGTTTGGAAGTTGGACTATCCATGCAGCAGAACCACTTGCATTCGCGGTACATGCGTCAACGGGGCACAGAACAGCAGTGCCCCCGGTTGTCACAGCAACGGCAGGACGAAAGTTGTAAGTGTACCAGAAAGTGGGTGTGACGTCTACCCAACTTCCGCCTCCATTGTCAGTCGTTCACGAGGTCGTGTGCAACCGCACATTTGGCGACCAGTTGGGCGCATCTCTTCTCGCTCCGCTACGATCGGGCGGTGGTCGCCCGGCCCCAACAACGACAGTCCCCATCACAAATCTGTCTTCCGATCGCGACATGAGCAGCACGAAGCTGGCCTTCAAGACTCATTTCGTTCAGATTCACCACAACTTCTGGTCAGACTCGGGAGGCCTTTTGAGCAAATTCGGCGGCCTCATGCCAGTTCGTAGCAAAAGTTGTCATTTTTTGTTCATACGTCGACCAGTTGATCGAATACATGAGATGTATTCACCCTATTTAGTTCAAGCGTATCAGGGGCGTGGCAGTTGAAGTTTCCCACAATGAATTGGGTGGACCCTGCGTTTTTCTTGAATTTTTCAATATTCTTCCTCTCCAAAAGCTATTCTCACTCGAGCTTCCCGAGACTGCAGTTTTGACTCCACCTGAACTGATCTCATCAGCCCCCACAGCGGGACTCGAACCATGACAGTGCAATGTACCATCTCTACCAGTCCCATTATCAACTTAAGCGAAATAGCGTGAATACACTTCACACCTCTCTACAGACTACTTATGAAACATGAAATAAGTAGTCTAGTCTATTGCTAGAGAAAATATAAGTTTGCTTCATCGATAATCCCACTACGGAATGCGATATGGGAAAATTTGCACTGGAGAGGATTACTGTTTGGGAAGAAGACGATGTGTACTTCAATGGAAACGTAAAGTCTACTCATAAGAATGAGGGAAAATTCGGCTTCCAGTCCTTTTTATTATCTTAAAGGAAATTGAGTGAATACACTTTATGTAGAAGTTGCCGTGTCGAAAGTGAGTGTGTTTCAAGACTAGCTTCAGATTTCGCATAAAATGGTGTATATTGTAGAAGATATTTTCATTTATTACAAAAGTGCATGAGGAAGAAAACTCAAGATCGATCTCGACAGAAGACGGTGCCTCATCAGCACCCCCAGTAGGACTCGAACCTGGGTTGCGAACTTTAAAGGAGCCCATAACTTTCCTATTCCACACTTCTCTGGTAAGATTGTCGATGATTCAATGTTGTATTTGCTATGACAATCACCCACATTACTTATTTTCAGTTTCTGTGTGTAGGTTATAGAGGCCACCATTAGATCTGATATAAAGGATAACTACTCACAAGCGGAAAATAAGTAATGCTGCCGAAGGCTATAAAAAAATGTAAATGTGACATGGAAAATTGAAGATCCATCTCGCCAGAAGATGATGGCTGATTTGCGTTGTGCTGCAGCCGATTGGACTTTGCACGACTTTCAGGTTGATAGAGTCTACGACACATCCTCCTTTCGTTTTGAGTGAAAACGGAATTGAGATTTCGTTCGTCATGCCAGTTGACTAACATCATCAGAACTGGAAATTATTCTTGTAAAAGTCTCAAGTTAACATTAGCTCTTGAGTCTTTTGACCTTGAGGCTTTTACATGAGTGACTTCCAGCTTTGATGATGTTCGTCAACTGGCATGACGAAAGAAATCTCTCTCCGTTTTCACTCGAACTGAGGGAGGATGTGTCGTGTTAAATCCAAACGGCTGCATTACAACGCGAATCAGCCGTCATTTTCTGGCGAGATCGGTCTTCAATTTTCCATGTTACACTTGTATTTGCCATAGCATTCGGCAACTACTTATTTTCCGCTTGTGAGTAGTAATCTTTCATACCGGATCTACTGGTACTCTCTAAAAGCTACTTACAAAACGGAAAATAAGTAACGCAGTTGATTACTATAGCAAATACAACTTTCCTTCGTCGACAATCCCACCATAGACAATTGATTTGAAGTTTGCAACTGAGGTTAGGGTCTCATTGAAGGTGCTGATGAAGCCTAGGCGAGATTGAAACTTAGTCTTCTCCAGCCTGGATGTGAATAAATGTTGGGAAAGCAAAGCTATGTGAAAGTCAATGGAAGCATTAGTTCTACTCATATGCCTGTAGGAAAATTGAACTACCAAACTTCATCACTTTAAACGAAATAGAGGGAACATCGTTCGAGATTTAAAAAAATGGGGAACCAAGCTGGGTTTGGTATCACACCTGAGGCATGAAAGTGAATCCGACCAAATGATTCGACTCGAGGCGCATTTGATCTGTAGAACGGTGTTGCGATGCCCAAGATCAAGTAGGCCCTTGTCGAAGGATAAAATCTGCTTAAGCCGAAATTGTAATGGCCAATATACAATTTTCCGCTGCCCACTGCCAGTCGGCAGAGGGTATATGATGGGATTGCCGATAAAGTGAACATCTATTTGCCACATTACTTATTTTCGATATAAGTAGTCTTCGAGGCTATTAGTAATTATTGAGTGCCATTTTGCGCACCCCAAGTTATGAAAGTCGAATTACGGACTGATAATTGGGTTGTTCCGCAATTACACAAATAAACCTCAGGATACAGCTGATTTTCACTTGGCCTTACCTCCCAAAATAGGAGTAGACTAGACTGAAATTTTAATTTCGACCCACCGAGTTTGAGGTAAGGCTGATTAAAATTCCTTTACAATGTCCGATAGTCACTTTAAGATACTCAGGGTGAAAAATATTGAATTAAATTTAAAAAAATTTAAGCGCGTCGAAGACTACTTATACTAAAAATAAGTAGCATCGTCGACTGATACGGCAAATAAATGTTTGTCTCATCGACATTTCCACTACCAAAATGTGATTTGGCTTGTCTTAAATGTCGCATCTGTCCTGTGACCCATTGGCAGCGTCGTGTGGTCAACGCCGCCAGGATACTTACCTGCCGGGCTCGAATCTTGTTGGGGTGCCGAGAGGCGCGGTTGAAGCTACCGTCCAATCCAGCCAGGATGAGAGTGGAGCTAGGCGAAATTCAACCACATACTAGGGCCTTTTCATATGATTGTGGGAAAACTCAACTTTCAGTTGATGTGGGAATTTTTCCTTCTCTGCGGAACCTCGAGTGCTGGACCATTCTATTTGATCTCTGCTATTGCTTGCATGCTCAGGCAGTTCTGACTAATTGACTAATTCACTTCTTCACACAGTTTTGTCCGGCAAAAGCTCCACCGCACAGACGTCAGCACATATGCACACAAACAGTGCTTTTTACTCGTCCGGAAATGATGCTCGATGCTACTCGTAAAGACACCAAACCCAACGAAGTGACCGGATCCTCTCAACACATTATCGAATGATGTCCCCATCATGCAACTGACTAACTCTTGTTCTGTGGGAGCAAGTAACTGTAGGAGGCGAAGGGAAGTTGACGCCGCCGTTCAGCTTTTCTATTTTGGTATCTTCAGCCGCCCCTTGCCCGTTCGAATACGAACTTTTATGCTGGTTTTCTGGTTTAATATTAGCCCACAGGCCAGTTTTCGGGTCGGCATGCTCTGGAAGTTGGCCATTTGGATCCTCATCTCCAAAATTATTGAAATTTTTATGCGGCCCAGGTTGGGACTTCTTGATGCAAAGCTTGCCTCACTGTGGCCACTTGGAGTCTGTCAAATTTTGTAAATTGCGTAAATAACTGATTTACTTACTTTACTCATAAACGAAAAATATATTAAATCTTGTCTACAGGATTGTTTGGGCAATACCGAAAGATGTTGGAATGGAGTGTCAACTTTCTGGAATGCCGTTTTGTTCACTCGATGCCATTATAGCTAAATAAGGTCATGATTTTTTCTGCTAGTTCGGACAACCCCACAAGTACCTTAGATTTATGATGCTTTCGCATAAAATTGCGCGATTCTTACGTTACTATAAACAGTTAAAAAGTTCATAAAAGACTTTAGATTAAGTCTGTATCAGGCGATATGGCATTCTTCAAAATGCTTCAAAGGAAAATGATTAGCTTAAATTAGTATTTTAGCGAACTACAAGCTGATTGTATTTCTTTCGAAAAATGTATAATTTGTCAATTTCGCACGCTAAACACAAAAGTGAGTTATACAAGCCTACCATTCCAAATAAAAGTATTTATAGAGGATTGGCCCTCTGGCAAGCTTCTCTTGTCTTAATAAAATTCCGGGATATGTTCCATTTTAGCATCCAAATTCTTCTACACGTAAGATGGTGTACCTGTTTTTCATAAACTAAAAAACCCAATGCTCGCCAACGTCAAATTTTAATTTTTCACAAATCCTAGACGATTGATAAAATGTGTTTAAGGTTGAGAGAACCAAAATGGTGCGACTCTATTTTAAAGGAGGATGCACTTAAAAAAATAGTTTGGTCAAGTAGGAAGACTTCATGTGGTTGATGTGGTCAGAGGAATTGGTACACGTACTTGTTATTCCACAAGAGCTTGGTCTTGGTCCAATCAGACTGAAGATATCGGCCTAATCCATTAGTCGGCCCACAATCCTGTATGGCATGTGTGCAGGCAACTTGGATGGGAATGCATTTTCGATCACAGCCTCATCCAGCAGGATTGAGCAGTTTGCCCATTTGACAGAGCTTTTTATCGTTCATCCAAACGAAGTAAGTGCATTATAAGCAAGAAAGTGAAAAAAAATACTTTACATGCAACTGGACGCTGTCGAAAAGCGCTACTGCAGTGCACAGCAGTTCTATCATTTATCCATTTAAGTTAATTTCGGATACGACAAGCGATTCCGGCTTAAAAGTTATGCCGCAGCCAGCTTGCAAGCGCTTTTGAGTTTACATTTTGTGGAAGCAAAATCGGCATTATCTGGGACCCGAGCAAGTCATACAAAAAAGCTTGATTCAAGCGTCGAATTCGGTGTTCGAAATCGTGAAAAAGGGTCCCTGCAATCTGTGCTCCAGTCTGGTCGGAATCCGTGGAACCTCAGTTTGCGTCTCAAAAAGCTTCCATTAGCATTGGAAACAGAATTCGACACCAGATTCAGCATGTTTCGAGGCAAAGCCTACGGGGGCCTAGTTAGGGGGACAGATAATTTCAGACTTGTGTGACTTGACTCTCTAACAGGACTTCCACTGGCAGGCAGACGCGCCAACTTCGG